CAAAGAACAAGCACCACATGACCCTGTCAAATGATGAAGATAAGGCCTTTGACAAAATTCAACAGCCCTTCCTAACTAAAATACTTAACAAAATAGGAATAGAGGGGTATTTCCTCAACATCATGAAAAGTTTATATGCAAGCCAAAAACCAGCATCAGAGAAAGAGAAAAGGTATTCCCCTTAAGAACAGAAATTAGGCAATGATGCGTACTATTACCTTTCTTATTCAATAGAGTATTAAGAGTATTAGCAAGAGCAATAGGACAAGAAAAGGAAATAAGTAGCATAAAAATTGGTAAAAAGAAGCTAAAACTATCTCAATATGAAGATAATATGACAGTATACTTGGAAAACCCTAAAGATTAAATGAGAAAACTATGAGATATAGTCAACAAATTCACCAAATTAGCAGAGTATGATATGAATATACAAAAATTAGTTGGATCTTTTTACAGTGACATAGAAAATATAGAACTAGAGCTTAAAAAAAAACCAGTATCAATTACAATAGCTAACTACAAGATTAAATACATGTGACTATCACCAGGGACACATAAGACTCATACACAGAAAATGACAAAATATTACTATAAGAAACAAAAAGAGATATGGAGATATGGAAGAATACATCATGCTCATGGATAGGAAAACTCAATATCATGAAAATGACAATTCTGCCAAAGGATCAATAAAATCCCAATACAGATATCAATTTCATTCTTCAAATACATGGAAAAGGCAATTTTCAATCTCATCTAGAATGTAAAGAGACCTGAATAAGGAAAATACTACTGAAAAAGAGAAACAAGTTAGGCAGCATCACATTTCCTGATTCCAACTCTTACTACATAACTGTGGTGGTCAAGACAGCCTGGTGCTGGTAGAGAAAGAGACACATAAATCAATGAAATAGAATTGAGAACCAAAAAAGCAGCGGGTCAACTGACCTTTGACAAGGAGATGAAATCAATGAACTGGGGAAAAGATAGTCTCTTAAGCAAAGAGTGCTGACAACATTGGAAACCCATCTGCAGAAAACATAAACAAAACTCACACCTCACACTGAATACAAAAACCAATCCAAACTGGATCAGGGATCTAGGAGTAAAACCAAAGACTATAAAATCCATCAGAAAGAAGTTAGGAAAAACACTAGAAGCCTTAACATATTGGCATGGAACAGTGTTCCAAGCATAAAAAACCTCCAACCAAGAGAGAATAAAATAGATGAATGAGATCTTCTAAGAATCAAATCACTATGCACATAAAATAATATCTCTAACAAGGTTAGAAAGAAAGCCACACACTGCTGAAAATTATTTGACAATAACATATTTAATAATAAGTGACTTTTATCTGAAAATTACAGACTACTCTAGTACCTCAATAAGAAAAATGTAGGCATCAACACAGCAGCCACATTAACAAAGCCTTAGTGGATCTGTTCCAGTTCATTAGCTACATACCTGTCTTAAAATTTCTTAGTGTGGCCTAGACTGTTATCCTGCCTGGAGCACTAGACCCCACTGCCTGGAGCCTTCCTGGTCACTCTGCCTGGGGGACACAGGAGGTCCACCTGGAGGCCCACCATCTGAACCCCTGAACCCACCACGTGGAGGACCTGGTCCAAATACCTGGACACTCCTGACCACAGCCTGGATGCCTCAGCCTCACCACAAGGCAGACCTGGCCCCACCACTTGGATGCTCCAGCCTGCAGCCTGGACACCCACACACATTCCCTTGTAGATGAGCCGCTCCTGCCCCTCTGAACTGCA